TAATAATAATAATAATAATAATAATAATAATAATAAATAAATGGATAAATTAATAATAGTAGCAACAAATATTTGTTAATGATAATTTTATTGCTAATTTTTTTCGAGTTCATTTAATTAATAAATTATGCATGGTAAATAATGTTAGTATTAAATGGGATAGAAAATATAGCACTGATTAATAACATATCAATAATAATTGAATTAAATAGATATAAGAATTTGACAAACTTTTTTATAAAATATTAGATTAAATATGCATAATGGATCAAAATACAAAAAAAAAAATCATGTAAAATTAATTAATTGTAATAAGAAATGAAAAATTTAATGAACAATATGAAAAAGAAGAAGTATTTAGTTGACAAATTTGGCATCGTATAATCAGCAATCATCGTTTTCTCATTATCAAGGTCATTGATTATATAATGCAACAATTAGATCGAATGCTGTCACCAAACCATCCTCTCACCTATGATGGCGACAGGTCATATATTGATACCAATTACACTCATAATGCAATTTTGATATATATTCTATAACATAAATATATTTCATATTTTATTAATTCGCACATAAAACACTAAATACGAATAACTTCTTTTTTCTTGAAATAAGGATTAGGAGATAGAAGATCACAAAAAATAAAATATTAAATAATAGTAATTAAGTTTTTTTTTTTTTTAAATAAAAACATTCCAAAATAATACATCAATATAAAATATAAATATTAAAGGAAATAAATTCTTTTACTTTTTTCTTGTGAAGAAAAAACATGAATATACTTTGTATTTTTGTTATATTCCAAGTATTATATTTTTTAATAGATATATTTTATATCAAATAAATTAAAAAATATATTTAATATAATTAAATTGTCAGCAATTTGAATCATACAATTTCAATCAATTGACCTTGATTTATGATAAATTTTTTTTCTTCAAATTTCATCAGATTTTCATTGTGAATTATATGAGTAATGTAATCCATGTCGATTATGATGATGAATATTATTTAATTAAATGTGAATGATGATGAATGTCATTTAGTTACAATCAATGATAATATTGCCCAGTTTATTGCGGTTTATAATTAATGAAATTTAAAATATTATTTGATGATAAATGAATGAGATGATTGGAAAAAGATGAAATAATTTGATGACAATTAAAAAAAAAGAAAAAAGAAACGAAATATGTAATTA